ATGTTTATCTCTGCTTCAATCCTGCTTCAATTTGACTCTGACTATGAGACTATATTGAAAACAGACTTCTCAAGTTATGCTTTAGAAGAAGTGCTGCTACAATATGATGAGTAGAGCATTCTACACTTATGTGTCTTCTTCTCTCACAAGCATTCACCTGCAGAATGCAACTATGAGATTCATGATAAGAAGTTATTAGCAATAATTGAGTGTTTAAAGGAATAAGATGCTGAGCTGTAAAGTGTAAAGGAATTCAAGATCCTTATAGATCATAAGAATCTAGAATACTTCATGACTACATGCAGACTAAATAAAAGATAGCTATATTGAATGAATATTCTCTATCAATTCAACTTCAGAATTGATTACTGGCCAGAGAAGTTGAACACTGAACTAGACACTCTATCACAAAGAGAGCAGAACATGTCACAAGATGCTGATGATAAGAGAATCAAGCAGAGGTAAGCTCAACTACTTAAGTTTAATATACTGGTACCTGAAATGGAACTAAGAGTGACTGCTGCCAGTGTGGAACCTGAGATATCTCTTCAAGCTCAGTGAAATGAGGCTCACAAAAATGACAAGATTCTGTAGTGTCTGAAGCAGACTCTTCATGAGAGAAGATTCAGATTTTCTTCTAAACTCAGCATTAAGGCCTCTGTCTCTGAGTGCTCTTTAAATGAGAACAGAGAGCTTCTCTTTTGAGGTCATAAGTGAGTATCAGACTTTGAACCTCTTCAAACCAGGTTAGTGCACAAGGCTCATGACTCATCTCTTACTGATCATTCTGAGTGAGAGCAAACAGCATAAGTTCTAAGATATGAGTTCTACTGGTCAGGCTATGCTGCTGATGTGAGAAGAATGATCAGAAACTGTCATCTTTGCAGATTAAACACTGCATAAAGAGATTGATATCAGAAACTGCTTAAGCCTCTTCTTATTTCTGAATGCATATGACAGGAGCTTTTCATGGACTTTATTATGAACTTATCAAGCTCTAAAGAATATATAAATATCATGATTATAACAAACAGACTGACTAAGAGAGTTATATTAAAAGCAGTTAAGAAAACTGATGTGAAGACAGTGACTATAGTGTTCCTTCACAACATCATTTCTTGATATGATATTTCTAAGACAGTAGTATCAGATTGAGAATCAGCTTTCATAAGTATGTTTTGAACTTGAGTGTGTGAGAAATTAGATATTAAAAGATGACTCTTTACAGTCTATCACTCAGAGACTGACAGAGCTACAGAGTGAATAAATCAGACTATGAAAATCTATCTACACAAGTATATTAACTTTCAATAGAATGACTGGTGTGAATGACTCTCTCTGGCAGAGCTGATCATCAATAATAGAGATACTGCCTTAACAGATGTGAGCTAATTCTTTTTAACACATCTTTTCCATGTCTTCTTCATTGATATAGCTGATGCACTTCCTGTTAAAACATCATATAATTCCATTGAGTTTGCAGATGATTATATAAGGAAGACTCATGAAGTGTTGAAGTAAGCTCAAGTAAAAATGACAGATACTTAGCAATCTCAAGAGAACTATGTGAATAGATGAAGAGACCCAGCTCTAAGCTTTCAATCCAGAGATAAGGTCTGATTGAGCTTAGAGAATATGAGAACTAATCATCTGTGCAAGAAGCTGAATGTGAAATACAATCAATATACTGTGCTAGAAAAGATAGAATCTCATGCTTATCAACTGAATGTCTCACTCAGCATTCATAATGTCTTTAATGTAAAGCTTCTACATGCAGTGATAACAGATTTCTTGCCTAGTCAGAGACAAACTGACTAGCAGTCACTCACTATAGAGACTCTGAAAGGACCTGAGTTTGAGATTGAGAAAATTTGAGGTGAATGAACCTATCAGAGGAAAAAGCAATACCTTATTAAATGAGTAGATTGGGCTGAGTCTACATGGAATGACATGAGTCTTCTACAAGAAGTGAAGGCTTTGGACACTTGGGAGGCCTCTCAGCAGGCAAAATTAGATATAAAGAGGACTTTAAATAGTCATAAAGGCCTGCAACAAAGAGGGAGAAGGGGGGTATTATAAGAGACTTAACTCTTAGATTCACTCTGACTGGCTGACTCAGCCTAATCATCTTTTGCATATGTGCACATGATCATGCTGCACATGCACACATGATCATACTACATGAGCTTGCTTAAGCTCATATTCTCATCTCATTCTTTTCTTCCCTTTTCCAAGCAATTCATTCTTGTTATATAGGAGGGCTAACCTCTAGTTCTTAAAGCTTAATTCTCTACACATACCAAGCACATTCTTCATTATTATCTAAAGCTTTTCCATCAATCTTAAGTTTTGATTGAAGCTTTAGCTCTCACTGAGAATAGTGCTTCAGATTAGAATCATCATACTTCTTGCAGTCTGATAACTTGGTCTTTGATCTTTTGACTACAATAAGTGATTGCAGATTCAATTGAGAGAGAGTTGATGTTGAGATGTTCAATACTTGTCATAAATTAGCTATTTCAGCTTGCTGAGCTGCTATTAAATCTCTGTTCTCACACTGGACCTGTTTCTGCTGTTGAAGAAAAGTCATTCATTGTTGTTCAAAGCTGCTGGGAGTATTCCTGCTCATTGCTTCATGTTAATTTATTTATATATTTATTGTACAAGTCTGTCACTTTATCTCATTCAGCTAGATGTTTTCAATGTTGCTCATTTGTTTGTTAGCATGATTGCTAACCTAGTCCATTCATATATCAGTGCTATCACTGAACTTTGTGATGCAGAATTTAAGACTTTCAATAGTCTGTTGTATGTCAGCACATTTGCTGAGCTTCATAATATAGAATTAAGACTCCCAGTGGCCTATCAATGAAAGGAGTGAAGCAATTTGTAATGTAGAGGATTAAGCTCTAAGAACTAGAGGCTAGTCCTCCTATATAACAAGGATGAATTGCTTGAGAAAGGGAAGAGAAGAATGAGATGAGAACACAAGCTTAAGCAAGCTCACGTAGCATGATCACGTGCGCACAAGCAAATGATGACTAGGCTGAGTCAGCCAGCCAGAGCGAATCTAGGGGTTCAGCCCCTTATAGGAGTATATGAATCTGAATCTTCTTTCTTACAATAATGATCGTGACCTCCAAAGAGATGTAATAACTGTGAAAACTATTGAACATTCAAGAAGAAGATGTTCTAATCTTAATTTTAATGGAATTTTGATTGTTGTTTGATAATTGCATTTTAAATGAACTTTATTAAATACGTATAGTTTCGACCTTGGTTGGGTGGCTGGCTCGGTTGGAATTAAGGTTAGCTGATTAACTAATAACTAGTTAACTAGTTAACTAATAGTTTTACACTAATACACATGTGATTATTGGCAGCCAGTATACAATAGCTTGCTAGCCTTTCTCTTCATTTTTTCTTCAATGCAAGAGATTAATCAAATCTACATGATGTTGATCTCATGAAAGACCCAATGAAAGATAGATAACTCAAATCTTGAAATAAAAATTATATACTTACACGAGTCAAGAACAAATAAAAAAGAAAAAGAAACTGAAACTTCTTCAGCTGCTGGTAAATCAACACAAATGTCACGGTTAAAAATAAACTAATAACTAACTTCTAGTGATATGTCTTGCAGTGATTGAAGTCAGATCTGCTTCTTCATGTGACTGTATATACAGGCACTGTAGCAGTGCCTAGCAGCAGCGTATCCACATTTCTGTTGATGTGGTTTCCTTGTGGCCGACCATGGTCCCAAATACTACTACCACCCTACCTACCAAGGCTTCTATCTCTCTGGATTAAGGACCAAAGCCCCACAGGCAAGCTCTGGGCTATCGACGCCTTATTCACGGTTGTATGGAGTTGTAGAATGGGCAGGACCATTACAGTGGATTAAGCGGACACCTGCTTCTCTCAACTGGAAAAACTACATTCCCAGTATTCAATTTGATGCCCGACAAAGCTGCTGATTGAAGTGCCTCCGTTTCAGGCGTACCAGGGCCTGGGGAGCTCGCGTTTTCTGCGCAAGTTACCTTTGAAGCGCGGATGGATGCTCAGATCTCTCGATGTACCCTGGAGGCTGAACAGCATGTGTCAGTCTCTTGATGTTATTGTCTATTTTAAGTGAGGTAGCTTTTACGTCGTTTTTCCCCGCTCCTCTCCTCCTCTACCCCAGCAAATTAAATGAGCCTCGTGATATGGCAAGTTGATACCCCGATTAAACTGATATCCGGAAATAATGGTAGGTTATGGAGTTGATCATCTCCCAGAGAGCCGCTGGTAGAAAACAAATGGTAAAGTTGCGTCGCCTCCAGACATGGAGATCGCGACGGGGTGCTAGACTATGCCGGATCAATGGTACAGCCACTCAGCCAAGGCAAGCTCTAGGAAGATCTGGGGAAGCATTACATGAGGCGGTTTCATGTTCTAGCGAGCAAAGTGGAAAAATTTGTGACTCTCCTCAAACAGATAATAAACAAGCATAGCTATAGCTGCTATATTTGCATGCATTGATCCTCGGTTTCAAGAAGCGGGAGCAAAAACCCTGTAAGTAAACTTCACGTGTAACCTCCAGAGAACTTTGAGAAGAAGAGTGTTATGCCGCTTCTAACAGTTGTCGATAAGTTCTCCTTGCTTTTAGCAGCTATCGTTCATTCTCACTCCTGGATCTTCAACCCCACAGCTACCAGCACCGGTAGATAACTGGTCACTGCAACATCGCATCCAATCTTTCGATGACTGACGTTGTGCCCCTAGTACAATTCAACAAGGGTCGACGGATTCAGTCCTATTTCTGTGTTCTCTGGCTGTGACAATGTACGCTTCCAAAAGATATAAATTCGAGCTGATTTCCGCTCCAGAGGTCAACATTTGATCATCGTCCAACACAACAACAAAACATCATCTCTTGCGATCTACAATTCCAACACAAACCTCTTTCTTGAAAACCTTCTCTTGAAGACTTGTTTCTTCTTCACCTTTTATCCAAAATGCAGTTCTCCAAGGTCATTGCTGCCTCCTTCGCCCTCCTCGGTGCCGCTGTCGCACTACCATCCCCCCAGGCCCCTTCTCCTAACCCGAAACCTGCGGTTACGCACGCTCTCAACGAGTTCAAACATGCAGTTACTACCTTTGAGAAGGCAACATCAGCTGCGAGCTGCGACTGGATTAGTAAGTAGCCCGTAGCAGTGCGATCAGAGAGCCCAATATATATCCTGTGTACTAACAGTGGTGAATAGCATGTCTGGAATCTCTTGCCGCCTCCAGCGCTGCTTGTGCTGCCGCTCTTGAAGAATTGGGACTGAGTATGCCATTTCCAATGCAGAGGACTATCGTATGTTCATGCACGTGGTGCTAATATCTTCTGACACAGACATCGCCCTTGACCTTGCCTGTATTGCTACTGCTGCCTCAACCAGCACCAAAGGCTGCGAGGGATGCTTCTAAATCAGCCCTAGGCCCGCCAGGATATCTTACACAGTTCCCCCACCGCTTCGTGGGACATGTTAACCAATCGGCTTGGTAAATTTTTGTTTGTCTTTGCAGTACAGTGTAGTTGATATCTTTTTCGCGTTTGATTTTGCTCTGGGCTGCCCACTGTCCACATTCGTTTCTAGTCTGTTTCGATTGGCAGTAGTTTTTCATTCACATATGAAATACTATGAAATATATTCCATGCATTGGTTCCAACTTTCAGAGTAGCATAAATATCTATATTTCATATGTTTAATCCCAATCATCTCGGTATATATATATATATATATTATACATTGGATGTTGTTTTGACCAACAATCCTGCATTAATATTAAATCGACCAACCACTATGATGAGATTTGCCGGCTGTTCGCCAGTGGCCCGTGTAAATGTAGAATGACGCATGGGGTTGCTATTATTAGTGTTTAACTGCTGTCGGCTTTTTTGCTCTTTGGTGTTGTTGGGTAGCGAGAAGGAGAAAGCATGCGGGCAGACGGGCAGACGGGGCACACGGGCACACGAGCTCTTCAAAACGCAGGTTAGACCCCACGTTGTGGGTTCTTCTCACGTTTCAGGAGTAAAATGCACAAAGCTAAGTTCAAGCAAGTGAGTGCAGATTATGTAGTGATGTATGTATATCCTGCGAACTTGTAACTACCTAGTTAGGTGACTGCACAAACTTAAAGTTGAACTCTAACCTGCGGTTGATCGGATAACTTTATCGTTTAATTAGTTAAGGTTAACTAAATAACTAACTTCGCGCGGGGAAAAACACGATCTTCTTGGAGATTCGCTAGGTAACCAACCACCTGGATTTAACCAACTAAATAGCTAGCTAGTTCTACCCCGTAGTTACCGTAGTTAGTTTTGGGGTTAGCTAATTAGTGGTAATTGTCCTATGGTCCCCACCCAAAAGTTCTTGCACCGAGTTGACTGGCTAACGGGGCACCTACTCCACACATTTTTACGCACGAAGATTGATGAGGAAGACCAGTCATTTGAGTTACAACCTTGTTAGATTAGGTTAATGTTGGAGCGCGTCCCAAGGTTCTAACCAACTAGCGCCCAAGGGCCGATGGTTATCTGATTAGGGCTAGCTTACCCTCGAAGCCCTAATAAAATCCCGATTGGGCTTAGAAAACCACTCTTTCCCCCTTTTCCCCTTTTCCCGAGCCAGAAAAAACACCCGCACGTCCTTGGCAGGCTTGGCAAGCTTGGCAATCCCGGGCATCCACAACTGCCGCGTTTTGCAGAGTTCGCGGAACGTTCCACCCGGAGACGCGGCAAACTTCCACCTGCCCTGGACAGCCCTGGACAGCGGGAGCAACTCTGCCGATGGCTTAGTTAGTTACGGAGGCTAACTATTGACTACTGGCATATTTGTTGCATCTAACCACCCACCATCACCATCATCACTATTCCAACGACATTCTTTACCATTTCATCTCTCTATATCTCCTTATGCCTATATAGGTAGTTAAAGGTAGCTATGGGTGTTTATGGCGCTATAGGTGCTGTGGATGCTATTGATGCTGATGCTATGGATGCTATGGATGGCTGTCTACTGCGACCAAGGGCTCAGCTCGCTCATCCCACGCGAGAGTGATGTGTCACTCTATTGGACAGTTGGCTTGGGATAGGGATGAGCAAATATATTAAAACCCACAATTCTCTATAATCTCTAACCCGTCTAGCAGGGATGGTTAGCCATATGCTTGACTCGTTTGTTCCCGTTGCCTCCGTCCCTCTCTCCCTCTGTCCCTCTCTCCCCTCCTGTCCCTCGCTACTACAACTTCCCTTTAATCTTTTTTCATCAAGCGGTGGTTGATTTTCCGCCGTCCCACTCGCTTCCAATCTGGGCTGGAACTAAATTAAAAATAACCCAACCTTAGATCTCTCACCCACAGCATCCATGGACCAGCAGGAGTTTTTTCCCTCTCGATCCATGTGAACGCCCATTATGGTTCTAACACTGAGTGAGCCCCTGACTGGGACCGCCACCCCACCGCCCTGGCTGAGATAATAGTTCATCAAATGATAGTTAGTTCTGATACAATCCCAGGAGACCTTATCACCCCAGGGCTTCTCCAGTTTGTGGCTTGAAAAAGCTCAACTCGACCATGCATGCACGCACGCACGCACGGGCTGAGCCTGGACGCTGTCATTGGCAACGAAATACCTGCTGCCGCAATTTGTCAAAGGCCTTTCTTGCAAAAGTCCTTCGACCACAGACAAATAATCACCACCTTGGACTGTTAATAATAATAACATAACAATAACGATGATAAAATGAATTCTTCGATCGATATTTCCCTGGAAATGCTGCGATCTCCTACAGCTTCATAATTATTTCCTCCTGTTTTTTGAGAGTATATAATATTTGTATGCCTTGGTAGATGTATATATATATATATATATATATATATATATATATAAACCTTAATATACGATCTATACTACGTTGGTTTGATCCACATCCTACATCGGAACCAGTGCGCGCCGCCTCCCCTCGTTCTGTTGCTATCTGCGTGTTGGTAGCTGAGATATGAGCGTCGGTCATGACATGTTTTACTCTACTTCACGACAGTTGGACCGGCTTCACCGCTCTGGAGAGACGCAATATAGCTCTCTACATCGCTGGGATCATGCTTTACAAATTCGGCCTGGAAGCCTTCAACGGGTCCATTGTAGCTCTCGCCACCAATAGATATGACTATGATGCCTTCATTTCAAATTCGACATCCAAAACTTTCGAGCGAGTCGGCCTCCTCACAGGGCTTAACCAGGCATTTCAGTGTATAGGCGCCATCCTCATTGCACCGCTCGTCCGAAGGGCACCCACGAAGCTAGTCCTGTCAACCTCAGTTTTTGCCTTTGGCCTTTTCGCCGCCATGCCCCTCATCGTGGATGCCAGCACCGGTGGGTCATTCGTACCCAAAAAATTCCGCACCAAACACCCTCGAAATGACTTTCATTACTATGGAAATTACAATACGGATGGGTTAATCCCCATCTACTCTGTCACAGGTATCGTTTACGGGATGGTGGAGCTTATTCGTCGTGTCATCCCTAGAGATCTTGTGGGCGGAAACGTCCAGAAGCTTCGCCGTGTTGATGCTCTTGTTCACATCTTCTATGAGGTTGCCGGCACCGCTGGCGCGTTCTGCACTGCTCTCGCCCTCATTCCGAATCTGGGAAATAACTATTCCTTCATTATTACCCCAGTTTGTTTTGCCATGGCGGCTGGCACATGGTCCTGCATAACTAATCTGGACTTCCAGCTTGAGGCGCAGGATGTTCTAGCAGAACAACCCGCCTACATCAAAGCCATATTTGGATCCTTTTTGCTGTTTCTGGAATCCTTCTGGACTGGCGGAAAGCTTATGTTTACTAATCGCCGATTCATCTGGCTGCTGCCCGGATACGCCATCGCCCTCTACGGTCACAGATATCTAGAAAACGGATTAGCTCCTGCGATTGCCCGTCGGTACCTGGGAAATTCAGCCTGGTCGCAAGTGATTGTTGGGGGCTCGAATCTGGGCGAACTGCTAGGCGCATCATTCGTATTTTTTTTTACAAACCTCGTCACCACGCCCATTCCATGGATCCGGCTGGATTCCGTGATGCTCTTGGCCGTATGGTACTTACCCTTCTGGTACCCTCCGCAGGGCCAGGTTGCCTATGCCTGGATAGTAGCTGCCACCTTCCTCCCAATTTCCTTCGGCTGGGCGGCCGGAGATGTCTCTCTCGTCGCATACATCCAGGCGACACTTGCACGCGTCGAGTCAAAGACCAAGAATGTCTCCGCATTGGGCGCTGTAATGGCTTTTCTCTATTCGACATACATCGTCATCTACGCCATCACCTCGCCTATGTTGGGTCGGTATATAGACATAGTCTTCAATGAATCGGGTGGAGCCGAGCACGATGGCGACATCCACCCTGCTATTATGAACATAGGAGCCATTCAGTTTACCATCTTGTCCATTATGATCTTGGCAGCAACGTTCGTACCGCAGGGGGCCTTTGCGTTCAATCCACAGATCCTCTTCAAGCAACGGCTGGACACAGAAATTGCCAAGCCTAACAGGCTGGATGACGAGGTCAAAATGACGAGTTGGCGTAGCGATGGGGAGTCTGCAGAGAACCACCACACAAGTCACAATGGGTGTTCACATGAAAAGTTCTTATTCCAATCGCCAACACAGTAGCCATGATAGCCATCACCACGGGCGCCGGTATCAGGAGAAGCCATAGGACGGAGTGCAATGTATCAATTTCAAGCCTTCCTGTTCATTCCTTCTTTTTCACCTGTTTCATGGCGGCATTTTTTCAGCTTCTTTCCCTTGCTCATTCTGTAACTATTCAGTCTCCACCCTCAATAAATCACACTTCCATTGACTAAACTCCCCATGGCCACATGCCAACTAGAAAAAAAAGAGTCTCAAAAAGGAAAATCATCTGCACAGCAGTCCATCTTGCTGACACTATAGAAGTTGGATGTATGATACCCTCTTCTTGTACTCTATCCCTTCCCGTCCTGCCATGGCTTGTAGATAAGGACTTATTATAGAGCTGGCCTAAACTTTCATTCTGCAAGACTATTTTACGGACTGCGTTGATAAAATAAATAAATTCTCCCTTGAAGATACAACCTACAAAGGACAAATCGTAGACACGTCCACGTTGTATATGCAGCTTCATATGAAAATTGGACAAGGTTGCGTTATTCTCTGATAACATTGCATTAGGAGTGGACTGGCTGACCGAGCGACTGCTGAATTGGGGAAAATAAACAGAAGAAGTTGAACAAAAGAATATGCCGGATTTCGAAAATGTATATTTTAGGCCATCAGGGGAGACGGCTTTCTAAACACAGCAGGAAATGAATAATACGAAGAGAAAGAAAGAAAGGGAAAAAAAAAAAAAGAAAAAAAAAACCAGGGGAAGGAAAGACGAGGAAACCATCTCATAGCTGCTTGCCCATAAACTTTCGCTTGGCAAAAGCGAGCCACCACTACATCCGTAACGTGGGGGGTTAGCTGTTAAATGGAAGAGGACGAAGGCATGTGTGAAAAGGGATACGGGAGGAATGAATATATACCTTTGACGGACCAACTCCTTCGGGGTATAAGCGAGAATGTAATCGAATGGCGAGTTCTTGTCGAACCTGAGAGATGTATCTAGAGCAGACGTAAGGTGATATATCTAATTTTTTTTTTTGGTTGGGGGTGGGAAGGAAATTAAAAGAGAAAATAATATAATATTTGTTGCTTGACATACTGTCTTAAAGCCTCTGCATCCTGGCGATCGCGAGGTGGTTCAAAGGCCTGGTTCAGCGGGAAAGAGGCATCCCCCGGGGATTGCAAAGTGATCAAGAGACGTGTTGATGAGGACCTATATATTGTTGTAGTTTCGTTTGTTGTTCTTATCGTCAGCCAACAAATCGAAAAGCACACACACATATATATATATATGACCCAAAAATCGTAATTCTGGCCTACCTTTTCCGCTTCTCTGGCAGGCATGCCCGGTTTAACTTTGGTAAGGCATTCGCTGACAAACAGGATGCCATATATCAGCATGCGATCCGCGGGGCCCTTGATTTCAAAATTTCGGAAGAAGGTATTTGCACGGTATAGGGAGAGAATTTCATCGAGGCAGTCGTATGATTCGCTGTCCGGGTCAATGTTTGACTCCGGGGTGCCGGGAGGGAGTGCCGGAAGGGTGTATGCGGGGCCACGGGTTCGCGTGCGGAGAGGCAGGACGGGGAAATTTCCTATTGGCAGACATGTGTGAGAATAGGGATAAGTTTCTGATTTATCTCCGGAGTATGCGTGACATGCCTATGGTTGGGACGTCTGCTTCCTGAAGGAAGATTGAGTGGTATGCCTGGGCAAATACACGGTCAGCGGGAGGAGCGGGGAGTTTAGTGTTCTCCTGTAGCTGGGGAAAGAGGGGGCACTCAAACCAACCGGCATATCGGAAAGTCGATGTCTGGGATATGATCCTAAACTGAATTCCTAGCTGAATTGTTAACCCGGAGATATTATATTATATCTATATCATGTCATGTCTTTTCACCTTGGATTGTGTATGATCTCATGTTGTTCCGTTACAGTTAATTTTGTCAGGTTGAAGATGAGTCAACCTCGCTAAAAGGGTTGGCCCACCTCTCCACGTGACCTAACCCCAATCATAGTCAGGCCTGACCTCACTATACATACATAGTAAATCATTTATCAATCACTGAATCCTTACACCGCCACCCAAGCGAGCCGGCCACCCAATTTAAATTATCTTCAACTTTCTAACCCATCCACTTCAACGCGTGAGAATGCCATCAATTCGCAGTAAAAATGCAAGAAACTCTATAAAGAAAGAGAAAAGGTTTGAACTTATGATAATCTCAATTAAAAATCAAGAAATTATCTCAATTTGTGAAGCTACATATATATTTAATGTGTCTCATACTATTCTACAAGACCAACTCAATGGCAGATTTTAAGGGTGAATTTAGATGCAAATTTAATCAAATTAATTCAGATTGAAGAGAAGCTTATTTTTTAGTTCAAACTTAACTTTTAAACTTTGAAGTTAACTTATTACTTCTCTGTTTAAGAACTTTAAGATGAGATCATATTTTTTGAACTAACTTAGCTTTTTCTATTTTAAAGCTTTTTTTTCTTCTGATTTTCAGCTTTTTTTTTTTTCAAATTTTGAAACTTTCAGAAATACTGACTGAATAGAAATAGAAATAAAAATGATAATTATTTATATAATAATTAATTTTTTAATAATATTCTATACTACTTCTAATTGATTATAAATTAGTATTTTTTATTTAAATTGACTGAATTGAAATTAAAGTGAAATATATCTGATTAAACTGATTATATTTACTTTAAATTTTATAATTTTATAAATTACTTTAATAGTAAAATTAATAAATTTATAATTTTATAATTTTTTTTTCATCTATTTAATTCTTTAAAATAAATATTATAAATTTTAAATTATTAAATTGTTTAATTTAATTTATCAACTTTTTTTAATTTTTTATTTAGTAATTTTTTAATAAAATTTTTTTTTATATTTTAATTTTTTTATATAATTTTTATATATTTAATTTATTAAACTAAATAGATATTTTTTTAAAATTTTACTACTAATTTAATAATTAAATTAAATTTTTCAAGAAAATCTAATAAATTAAAAATAATTTTTTCTTTTTTTTAAAAAAAAAACTATAAAATTTTTATATATACTTCTTAAAATACAAAAAAAATACTAATTTTTGATGAAAAAACTAATAAAAATATTTTATTATCATGACTCAACTAGAGTCAAAATGATAACAAAACAACAGCTTTAATTCATTTATTTAACTTGATAGTTACAATAAGAATACTAAACTGAGAATTAAAATAAAGAATGAATAAGCAGCTGAATATATAGAGATAATTGAAAATCAGATCAGATCAACATGAGTAATCAAATATGATTGAGATCAGAATGAATTAATCTTGAGAGTGTAGTGAGATGTATCAATTTTAATTTATATATAAGCAGCTATACTGTAATATTACTTTTTGATTTAAAAAGTACTTGCTTTCAAGCAGCTACATTAGAAGTAAGAAAAGAGTCAAATGAAAATTCATCAAGCTTATCAGTAGACTAACTGCCTTGATCATCATTCATCAGATTCTTATAGATTTTCTTTTATATTTCACTAACATTGAATTTATCATCAGTGTGATGTCAAAACTCTCTATACTACTAGCTCCTGCCCTCACACTGTTAGGCTCGGCGCCGGGGCTAGGTTTATCCCCATCATATGACCACGTGACTACGCTCCACATGTAACCTAGTGGATCGGTGTGGGATGGTTGGTCTTCCATTGGTGGGAGGACTGGCCAGCTAACTGATATACGCGTACATCACGTGAGGTGGTGTGGCTACTAGGTGGTCATACCCAACACCCCTTTATGCATCAACAAGTAGGATGTCTCCACATAGTCAAAGCTAGCTATTCTATCCTAGAACTTAACTGTAACATGCTATATACAAAATAATTAAACACTGCTGTGCCTAAAGACTAATTCTGTCTGTCATCATTTTCTTCATGAGAATATAGTTGATTTGTTAAATTAAATATTGAATTTATTGACTATTATTATTACATCTTCATAATCATAAAATTAAGTGATATGATTGATCACTTTGAATGTATAACAGATATTATTTTTCAAATTTCATTCAACAATCTTATAGATGAAGCTTTGTGGTGTGTGAATTATAGTAAATATCATACTATTCAGAGTATAAATAATAAAATATAATAATATGATTGAGAATAGTTTAAATCTGAAGTCTTAATCTTCTAATTTTATAAATAAAAACAGATTGATAGTGAGATTTGAAATTCAGTATATGTTTTGAATCATGATATTTCTCTCTTCTAATTGTAGATATATATTCTCTATCTTCTTGATATGTCTTTGACCTCTATCAGCTGTGTTCACTTTAAAATTTCTCATAAATGACTTTGAATATATCATCAGATGCCTTTCATCAGTCATGTGAAAACTAGCACCAGTATCAAGATACTATTGAGGTTTTGATGATATTTCAGATGAAATAAATAGAACAATTACAGAGTTAATATTAAATTGAAAGACAAGAAGATTTAGTGTTTTATCACTATAGTTATTATTCTCATTTTTATTTTTATTTTTGCTCTTCTTTCTATTATTCTTTAATTTTTATTTATTACTATTTTCATCAGTATTTTTAATGATTTTAATTTTATTCACTTCTTTTTATCAATCAGTCACTAATTCTAAGTATAGACATTAATAGATTTTGTTTGAATGCTCTGCTCAGTTGCAGATATTGCACTTTGAAACAGAAGATGATGTATTGAACTGCTTATTATCATCACTCACAGTGACAGCATTTATATTATAGACTTTTATACAATCAGTTTTCTTTATTTTATTTATATAATTAATCAATTATTTTATCAGATTATCAATATCTATATTGATAATTGAATTTTAGCTTATTATATAGAAATCATTTATATAAGTCTTTAAAAAGACTCTCTGATAATTTTATAGATCATTGAGAAAGAGATCATGATGGAAATTATCTGTATTTTTAACTAACTTTTTATAATATGTAATTAGATAAAAATCTCTTTTAGTAGATAATATAGTCATTATCTTTGACATAGAGAATAGAAAGTTTTTTTATTACATTTATTCATTCTTCTGTTAAGAAGACTGTATATTTAGTGCTAATTCTTTGTCATAGAGCAGTTGCATTATCTGATTTCAGCTCTTCAACTATTGTTTATACAGGTTCTAATAAGAATTGAAGTATTTAATAATATAAGATTTTTATATATACTGTTCAATATTTTTTTTTCAACATATTGATATTTTGAGATAATTTATGCTGATTCTTCATCAAAATATCTATGTTATTATTAACTTCTATATCTGCAAGAATATTAATTCTTCATATTTAATAGTTGATATTATCAAATATCATCATGATTTTTGTATTCATTGAAGCTTACATTTCCATTCAATATTTGCATATCTCTTGTTTTAAAGTATATGCAAAGATGTTCTTATTGATTTAAATGTTTTACTGTATAGTCATCATTTATTGACAAAATGCAAGCAAATCAGCTACAGTTATGATGATCCTGCTACTTGCATTAGAGGTAGGCATGAAAATAGAAATAGATATGAGAGATGAGATCTCATCATCTGACTCATGATATATAAGTCTTTTTCTCAGATAATAGCTGAAACTGACATTTTTCATTACTTTCTTTGTCAGTATGTATTTAGTTTCTCTCTCATCTGCTGAGCTAGACTCTGACATCTGATTGTGCTCTTCTTCATACACTGGAGAAAATGAGCCTTGAAGTCTTGATTGAGAACATAAGAATTTTTTTCATTCTGATTTAAACATAGATGATAATCAATAGCTACTTATTATAAATATAATATGAATACTAATTCTTTAAAGAACATAATCACTTCTTGCAATCAGATAATATTTCTGTAAAATCTTTTGATTTTATTGCAAAAAGAGTCTTCTTTTATAGAATTAATGTTTTTGTTTTGATTTCTTTATGAATGTGATTACTTTTTTATAATAGACAGTATCTTTTTAAAATCTTTTAATTTTTAATGTAAAAACAGTGTTTTTAAAGGAAATCTAGTCAAACTCATTCAATATCACATTGGTTGCAGTGTATTCTAATTAAAATGTCTTGTTTTGCTTAAAAAACTGCTATCTGGGCCATAACCTGTGGGATGGTTGGTCTTTCATTAATGGAAGGACTGGCCAGCTAACTGATATACGCGTACATCACGTGAGGTAGTGCGGCTAGCGGGCGGTAATGCCCAACAATTGATTATGATCTGGTCACATGATCACATGGATTGTTTATAATCTAAGCAGACTCTGACATTTTTTTTCCCTTATCAATCTTAGTATTTCATTATATAGCAGTTAGCAATGCAGAGAGATTCTATCTTAGACAACTCATATTCACTTTCTAATATAATACTAAGGTTCCCTTCTATCTTTTTACTCAGGTTTTGATAGAAGACTTAAGTATATCAGTTGAATTAAAATCAGATAATATATTAGGTCAACTATTGAAAACAATAGTTCAATTCAATATCAGATAACCACTGCAGGCTCCCAATTTCTTGAAAGAGGTCAAAAGAATTGATGATATCTTCTAACGAGACTGATCAATCAATCATGTATTTCAATTGAGAAATTCAAAGAGATAATTTACTCAAATAGTGATTAT